ACTGCACTCGGATTCCTCCCCGTCCAGAAGCTGTACACGGAGCACTACACTCGGATTCCTCCCTGTCTGGAAGCTGTGCAGGGAGCACTGCACTCAGATTTCTCCCCATCCAGTGAGAAGTGCTCCCCTCCCCTCATCCTGTGGCATTAGCATTAGCTTCCCTGTGGATCTGGCTCCAAGCTGAGAGGGAGAGATTTGGGCGTCATCCTCCCCCCAGGGATGTCCAGTTTTAGCTTCTCTCTTCAGCTCTGCTAGAGACCTTGTTGCCTGTGCTGTGCTTCTCCTGCAGCAGCCGCTACCCCCAGACCCATTCCCAGCTGCTGCCTGTCTCGGCATCTTGGTGGCCTCAGAGGTGCTTGCTGCTCCCTCTCCACAGTGCCTTTCCGTAGGTGCCAGTAGATAGAGAGACGTCCAGAGCTTTGTTCCATAACAACTCTTTGTCCTGGGCGGCCTGCGACTTCTCCTTCGGATGGGCCCCACAGCAGGGAGTGTGCTTCATGCTGACTGCTGGGGCAGGTGTCCAGTGAGCCGGCCTTGCTCTGGACTCGCAGCCTGTCCTGCAGGGTGTGATGGTGTTCTCAGCACTAGCGTGGTGACTGGCCTCTTCCATACATCACTTAAGTTGGTAACGGCCGGCTTGGACCACAGGGATTCTGCTGATTGTAAATATACTCACCTGGGGTGCTTGTTGTCACAAGTCCCAGGTCCCTCATCAAGAGCCTGACCCCTAGTGGGCCTTCTCCCAGACTTCTTTGTCCCCCCTTTAAAGTGACATGCTTCAGATTTCAACCTGCAAGATGGTGGCCATCTGAGCAGTCAGCCAGGAGATGGAACTTGCCTCAGTGCCAGGGTGAATGCAGACCCCTCCCTGGCCTGCAGCATAAAGCGCCCCCTGCTCCTGTGAGCAGAGACCTAAGGAAGAGCAGCTGGAAGAAGGGAGGCTCCATTGTCCTCCGTCTGACCAGCAAACCTAGTGTGGAGGGGGCCCCTTCGTGCCACTGGTAACCTGCCTCTCCAGCCCTGGGGCTGAAGCCTCTCCTGGAAGCCCCAGCAGCCACAGTGAGCTGACTGACGGGGCTCAGGCACACTGTCCAGGTGTGCCTGCCCCAGCATGGGCCCAGTGGTCTTCCCAGCAACAGGGGCTCCTGTCCCTCGCAGTGTCACCTCTCACTCCCAGGCCTCCCAAAGCCCTTCCCTGCAGCCCCTCTGGCTTGGTTTGGGGTCTCACTGTTAACTGGTAGAGGGGAGGTAATTTACCATTTCTTCTTCAAAATGAAGAGCAATTCTAAAATTATACATTTTATTAACAGTCATGATAGTTTAGCTTCTGGTTAATTGAAGTTTTACGGTAATATAAGCATTACTTTTTACCTCTATACGCTGATGGAGAAATGAGGGATTTTGTTGAGTTATGAGTTCTGGTTAGCTGACTTTAATTGACATTTTATTGTCTTGACATATTTTTCTTACATTCTTTCCAGGGAGATGCAGTTAAAGACTTGATGCTTCGCTTTCTGGGTGAAAAAGCTGCAGCAAAGAGACAAGTCCTGAATGCCAGCTCCGTGGAGCAGTCTTTCGTGGGCCTGAAGCAGCTCATTGTAAGTGGCAATGTGTTTGATTTCCAGTTTGTTTTTTGGTAAATATTACCTTCCTACGTAATATTTTCTCTAGAAGTTATTAATATATTAATATTATGAAGTTATTAATATATTAATATTCTAAATTCTTTGAATTTGTTATCCAAAGCCCTTGCACATAAGTGAGAATTTTGTTGGGTTAGATACTAGTCCTATAGAAGCAAATTGCATCCTATTAATACACAGATAATTTTGGGCCTAACCAGTTAAAATGCCATTGTTTCAGATCAGAGTACTTGAGCCAGCATGTACTTTGATTAAGTATGCTTTATCAGACATAATAAATGGGAATAAATGTTTTTATAATTGTTTTTTAAAATATGCTCCATGTTCTGCATTTCAGATAGAGAACTGATCATTGAATAGGTAGAATTCTAAACACTTTTAAAGTTTGCCTTAAATTATATAGTAGATGTCTTAAAATTCATTAATGTTCGGTCACCAATGCTGTACATGTTGATTTATTTCCAGGGAATTTCTAATCTACAAGACAGCTTAATAGTGTTAAGTTGCTTTCCTTTATTAAGGAGAAAATATCAGAATCCTCTCACCTGCATTTCATTCAGGACTGTAAGGTCTGGTAAAT